GGGTCGAGTCGTCGTAGAGCCTGTCTACCTGGAAAACCCCTGAGGCCGCGAAGAGAACAGCGCACCAGACAGGAACACTGTCGGTATCTCGTCTCATGATAGATAAAGCCAACAAATGCAACATGTTGATCCATGTTATCGCCAGTTGCGCGCAGGAGGTCCGAAGAAAGAGTGCCGGAGGCGAGATACGGTGCTTCGGTGTTAAGGGCGCTATCAGTGAGAGTACAGCAGCCAGGAGTGAGCATGAAGCCGCGCATGGTTGAGCATGATATGAGACATTGTTGTGATGGTGTGAGAAGGTAGAAAGGAGGGTATAGACCGAGTAAGAGGGATTGTTCTGAGTGAAGTAGCAGTATCTGGACATGCAGACTTCAGTGGGGTAGCCAAGGATAAACACGAGCGCCTCGAACTGTGAGCCTGATTCGCGTCCGAGGCATCGGAACGCGTCTAGTCCGACATGCAAGGTTCTTTGCTTGCCATACACAATTCTCCTGGCTACCGTGACGAATGGGAGTCTTCGTCGGTAGGTGCTCTGAGAATGGCCTTGGGTTTGCCGTGGGTCATTATTATGCACGAGTGAGCTGTAGGTGGTGTTCTGCGGCGTACGTAGACCCCGGACTGAAATCATGTACGTATGTCGAGTGTGTGTTGTGGCGCATTGAAACTCGGCTGCGTAGTCCAGGGGAAAGGGGTGACGATGCTCGGCAATCCAAAGCCACCGGCCCAGCTCCCTCTCAATTTCTTGTCATGCAAACGTTCCCGTACTCCATCGGACAGGTCTTTGCCTTCGCTCAGGCGGTTGGGCTACTCCATCAACCTGATCAACTGTTTGTGTTACGACGAAGCCTTTGGTGGTTTGACTGCCCTTTCGTGGAAAGATGCGTTTCTGGTACTTTTGGTCAGGTTACTGGTGGGCTCCTATATGCGCATCTCAGACACAACGCGTTGGATTGGTTGGTATGTCAGACGATGGTCACGGCTGGACGCCATCGTAGATTTCTGCTTTGCGCCAGGCTGAGCTTCCTGTATCAACAGTAGACGACTACCTTCTCACTTAACGCTTGGGGGAGGCAAGAGGGCGGGGCCGGTTTCTTGGATCCTCCCTTCGTGTAGAGGCTGCCATGGCGGATACGGTCTAAGAAGGACCTTTCCAGGAGACGCTTCATATTCCGGACGTACAGGTGTTCGTCGGATGCCCCGCGATTGGACAAAATAAGCCATGGTTAACACCGGACACGACCCGAAAAGATGCCGCCAATTTCTCCTTCAAAGGAGGTTATCCTTGTCCTTGTCGTCCGTCGGCGAAGGGCAAGGCTCCAACGGCCGGCCTACAGACCCTGGCACGTTGCGACAAATCCGATGCGGCTCGTCTGCAGCCCACCCAATGAGGAACGTAGCATGCACACTGGCGCAATTCCAACAGTCACCAGGAATACGCTGATCAGATGAAGAGGGGTGGGTGTGCGGGAAGAGGGGGCGTCAGAGGAGACCACTCGCAGTGACGAAAAAGTACTTGACAGGGATCGCGGTTATGGACCCGGAAGCAGGGGGGCAAGGTCAGAGGCAGCAGGCCAAGGCGAGTCGGTGGCGTGAGGTACCCAGCGGAGCACTTACGCTATGTTGCAGTGTTAGCCGAGAGATGTATCGTCTACAAGACCAGCGAGTCACAGCCTGCAGCCCTGTGGGGATTATCCTCTAAGAAGGCGGAAAGCTCAAGGCCTGTTCCAGCCGCGTATCCAGCCGCATATCCAGTAGTGTAGTATAGCGGGGAAGATCTCCGTGTCAGTTATCGAAAATCCGGTCTCTGCAGATCGTCCGAGACCGACTTCACCTTAGTAGCACGCCTGCCTCAGCTATTGATTCGTCTCGAACGAGCTAGCACGGCGTCACACAGCAATGTTGGCATCTTTGCGAAGTATGTGGTTGCCGTCTCCAAGAGACAAATTTGCAAAGCGAGGCGGGCTACGACCTCGGTGAGCTGAGCATGCTGCTAGGACCTGTCCGACCAAGGGGTGACGCGAGGTATCTCTACATGGCTTCCAGATGGACTGTCCCTGGCGGAATACAACCTTGACGGGCGGCCTGAGAACGAGCCCAATTGGTGCTGCTGATCAAATGCTGGCGACCCGGCTTGAAGTCAAAGACTGCATGCCCATGCTTTTTAACGCCCTACGGAACATCGCAGCAGCACCGCGACGCCAAGCTCAGAGCCTAGAACCATTCTCGGCTTGCACTGGTCCCTGCTCCCACTCAAAGTGAAGTCGACGGCCATCGTCACCCACGGCGTCTTTGACGACTCATCTGCCTTCGGACGCCTCTCGTGTCAGGCCGCGATCACTATAGGTATCTCCTAGCCCTACACCCACGACGCTCGCGCTTCCGTCACTCTCAACTTGAGCGTTACCGCTCCGGCTGATACCTCAACTCTCAGTTGGGAAGTGCACAAAGACGAACCGATATCATGGAGGCATATTCGAGAGGCGATAAGACGGCAGATCTTCCTAGTATCTTGGAACGATCAAGCCTAGAACGCTCAGGGAGATTCGTCCCTAGCATTAGTTCTTTTCCTGTCGCCACTTCCGGCTTTGGAGACGTGATGAACGCGCCGCGGCCCTTACCACCATCACAGCTCCCCTTCGACAATCTTCACACGTATCATCAGGGGCCCGGACAACCACAACCCTACTGCGATTCATACAGCCTGAGGGAGTACAGTTATCGTGACAGCTTAGGAGGTTCGCATTACAGATCACCATACACGGAGCCCGCTCATAGGAATGAAGAGGGTTATCTCAGCACAGGTTCGTCTTCAGCTTCGGATTCCACAAGGTTCGAGACCCTAACTTTCCTCTGCTGTTTCATTTGGTTCCAAGAAAAGGTGAAGCTCTTAGAATATCGAGAGCGGTGCCCATCTGACAATTCTGCTTTCATAGGCCTAACTACCACCTGCCCAGCATCTCGGCCGAGTTTGGTCTGCACCATAACCAGTTCCAGCTGCACTCTAGCGCCGACGCCCTCTTTGATATGAAGAATAAGCTTGCGCTTGTGAAAAGATTCGATACGAAGGGGCCTGGCCCACACCTCGATGCGTCAAGCACATCGTCAACTAGCGACGCCTTTTCGAGGCTGTCCGGTGACTTTCGCGTCCCGCAACTTTCCGTGCCCACCAGTCTGCCGTTGCACCACAAAAAGTCGAACCTCCTAGACACGCAGACTCCCAGCTCTGCCCTCTCAGAGCCAGCCATTGCATCTCGGTCAGGAATATCACTCGCCGCCAGCTCAAGAAGGAACAACAGCGACAATGCCTTACCGCACAACCACGAGGCGCATGAGATGGAGATGAAGGAGAACAATCCTGCGAAGAGATTGCGGATAGAGGACCCCATGAGGGCGCACTACGAC